GGTTGCACTCCACCGTATATTACGAATCACTATGCGACTGCGCGCGAGGGCTCTAGCTTGAGTTCTAGGGCTAAGCGGGACGACCATTTTCTGTAACCAGATCGCTGTGCTCTCTACTATCACGTTTACGTTTGGTTGGAGGCAGCATTGATTGCAGCACAACTGCTAAAATAACGCAAGCAAGAACTCCATTTCCTTCAATTGCTGCTGCTCTCGGAATTGCATCCAACTTTCTACCTCTGATAGACCACCCGGGATCCTAACTGACATCAGCTTGCGATACTGAACCCGTTAACAGACCACTCATCGTTATTTTGAGTGCAGTAGTTCTTGCGTGTCTTGTGCTTATTAAATACTTGCAGGTATTAACGTCATTACAATTATAAAGGCCATGCGACAAGCAAGGAAAGTTGTTTTCATCATATGTTGATTTTTAGTAGGGATAGCAGGATCGCAGATCGCACAATCATCCTCCCCCCTACGTCCCACTGTGTCTCAATGAACTAAAATTTGAATGGCATGATTGGTGTAAATTTGACGCTTATTTTATTCTTCATAAGTAAAGTTGTCTGTTTTGGATGGCAAATTAAGACTTCACTTTTATTCCTGTAGTCGAAGTTGATTTCATTTAATGGAAAAAAGTGTGACTATAAGGAAAGTTGATTTGCAAACTATCGATAACTTTAGCTCTACCACAGTCTATTTTCAAGAACGACAACCCTTAATGTATGTAAAGCGTCCTGCAAGCTATGGCGTGGGCATAAGAACCATCCAGTACTACACGTGACTTTGCGCACGATTTTGGAATGTGGTAAATACTTTCGTGTAATAAACTTCAATCGGATTAAACTTCAGGATATCTATACCCTTAACGAAACCCTAACCTCAATACACACCCTAATCTTACGAGCAATTAACGAAACCCTCCTAGGGATGGAGGGTTCCTATTTTCATGTCTATAAATCGCTTTTACGATTCAATTTTGGATGTTTTTTTGTCCATTTACCTCATTGTGGATTACTTGCTGAGGTGCGTTTCTGCCCCCGTATGTCGGCGCTCTCGGTAGATATTTTGTAGATATTTTCTGACATGATATTGCATCTTAAAGGGACAAATTACAGAAATTCAAGTTCAAACTTTTCGCATAATAGTTGTACCGACTTGTGGAATCAGATTTACTCTCACATTGTCTAGTTAACCCTATTCGGACAACGATGCATGAAGAACATTCTTTGTTGAAAATTATGGGCTGAAAATTTTAAATCAATGTGTATTCCGCTCTTTCTTTCTTGGCACCTGCAAAACCACATATTGTTAAAATAAGTTGGAGGTTAAAAAAGAACGGTAAATTCCTCGAATTCGTATCTTGAAATATACGTTTTGAGCACATATGTCTCCTGCCATAAGTAGTTAAATCTTTTTCAGCAAATAAATACAAAGAGGAAAATGATAATGAAATGAGTTCGATCATATTTTATTGTCCTCGTAGTAGGAGCCTTTCACATTTTCACAGTATTTAAAGTTTTACAAGCCTAAAGTATGAACTTTGTATCCACATAAATGTTAGAGCAGGGCGCATTGGTGAAGATATACATTTAGTAGTCGTAAGTGATTGAAAATAATAATTACTACCGGCTAATTTCGAAAACACGAAGATATTTGACCCAGGTGCGCAAACTTCAGCCCTTGCCTATTTCCACTGACATAATTTCACCATGAAAAAACCCAGTTTTTTTCTCTTTTTGGATGACTGCTTGCTCAATGCTCTGCCATTGTGCTCTTTAATGTACCGAACTTCAGGTCTGAGTTCTGTCCGTTTTGCGCAGTATGTGTTAATTGTACTTTTATGCGTCCTAAATGACATCCGTAGTTTAATACGATGGCGTCAAAAACTAACCCGTAGACTCCCAAAAGGTTATAATTCTCCAGTCACACGGTTGATTTGCGTATGCTGGTTTTGCACGTGACACTCCTGGTGATGCTATTTGAATAGTTAACTTCAGACTTACGGACAAACGGTTACTGTAATTTTATTCAAAATTTTAACAAATTTAAATATTACTTTAGATATATCGTACAGCAAAATCACAAAAAAGTCGACTTAGGCCAGGGTGTAGGCACATCTACAAAGAAAAAGCACTTTATGATGTGATATTTCCTATCAATTCTGGAGGTCGTATGAATGCAAGTATATTTTATAGAAAAATTGCAAAAAATTTATGCTTTTTGTGCACATTTGGTAAAAAGCGTGTCTTCGTCAAAATATTTGCTTGAAATAATTATATTATTAGATTTTATAAAACCTTTCCAATGCGCAAATTATTTACAAAGCACACTAACTTTATACTAATAATCAGGGCTTCATAAATACATTCTGTAGACATTTAGTAAAAGGAGAATCGCTTTTGCTAGAATAAAAGGATAGTGTCATACATAGTGTATCAAACATTCTGCTGAATTTGTCTATAATGTGTATTTTAGATGTGGCATAATAAATCGATAGAAACATTACATTGTGAATGCACATCTTATTATCTTAAAATATCTTATAGCAATAAAATGTTTTCTAAACTTGATAATGCCTCTTCTCCAAATAAGAGATTAAAAATACGTAATTTTTTACAATAATACTCTAATAAAGTTTTCTATAGACTGTATTCGAATTCCTAAGGGCACGCCAAAACCAATGGGACAATGCATACTGCATAACTGGTGGTCGAAACGAATCTCGTTTGATACACAAAATCCTAACGTAACTAAAATACCTTGACAAGGGTAGTGTTAAAGTTCCACTTAGGTAATCGAAAAAGAATCTTAGGATTTTGGTTCGCATGTTGCGAACGCAGCAGCGTTGGAAAAACGCCCCCCCTAACAGACTGTTTAGCTCGAAATTTCCGTCGGCTTTTATCAGGGACAATTAGTGAATAACGTACGAAGTAGAGACTCACTTGATTGCTTATCGCCGCATAAGATTTCGAGTTAGTAACAATGGAGGTCTCTGACACCAAGGCAGTCTGAGACCGGACTTTTGCTGGAGACTTTCAGGTCTCGTAGACTTTTAGAAGCCCACTTCAGTCCAGAACAGAGTGCAACGCTCCGCAGTTAGCAGGGCAGTCCTACTGCCTCCATATGCAGGACAAATAGGCGGACAGGGATTGACAGTGTCACACGTTACTTTCGAGTTATCAGTTATCCGCTGCAACAACTCTGCCCTGCGAGCAATTATGCATGAACCTTAGTGGGTAATCGTCGCAATATTCACGTGGTTCCTCTTTTTCATGCCTAAACGGTACGAATTCATTGATTTCCGCTATATTCAGCTGGAGACTAGCGTCGTAATTATCCAAGTGTTATAATAGACCCCCATTACTCAACCCAGTTTACCATGCCCGCGATATCTAATAGAGTTTCACTCCTCCCATTCACCCACGTAACCTCTGCCTGATTAGTTGCTAGATCGTAGCTCGAACTTGCGCTTGAGGTTGTCAACTTCTGGGCGCCTAAGATTAGCAGATAAGCCCTGTGTGAATATAACGCAGGTAATTTTGTGCTATTCACATTGTTACTGGGTAAGGGTAACGATTATCACCTTCAGGAACTGGTGCCTGTTTCTGTATGCCTTGAAGTTCTCCAAACGCTGTTCCGTCAGATTTTATAAGCGAAATTTGGGCCTAACGACTGGCCAAACAATCCAACACACTAAAGCTTGCTTGAACACCTTGAATGTTGAGAAGATCATCTCACGTTTTCACCGATATACTGACTAACTCTCCTGCTGTTTGGACTTCGCACTTGCGATTCTAATCACAATAATCTCCATGGCTCCAGTCTTAGCTGTCTGGTCACCTTCCAATATATGGCTTTGTTTCATGACTAGCATTGCTAGTATTTTCTTCTTTGGCCACCCGGGTCAGGGGTCAGGGTCATCTCTGCCCTGACAAAAATGTACAATGTTATTTTTAAAAATTTCTTTTTCCCGAGATCGCGTCTGCCTCTTCTCAAAGTGTTCCTTGCTAACGACAAGTAGTAGGTTTCGCCGACTAATGAGTTCCACAAAATTACACGGTTTTGCTTTCCGCCAAATAGTCAACATACTGGAACGCATCAGTGAGCACTTGATTGACTACTTTCAATTCTGTCAGTGGTCTCTACCGCTCGTAAACCCATCAACAATTCCTGGCAGCAGTGACGGACGTGAAGTTACTGTCATATCATGAACTGCACGCAGCACTTCTTGCTGAGAGATGCATTATGCATGGCAAACGGCGCCATGCTACAGCAACAAAATGTTGACAGCCCCTTCCTAGGACATTGCTCTCAGGCAACATGCATCAGAGAAGGCTAAGTATAGCGCTACTAGCCAGATATTTGCTGCTACCTACTAGGTAGAGCAGTTGGAGCTTGCTCGCTCTATCAAACCCACAGAATGTTCTATTTTTTATGTTGTCCGACGGAAAACTTACCCAGTTATAAGATGTCCGTATTGAGGTTACATCTCGAGGCTTCCGGGGAAGCTTCAGGGGAAGTGGTCACAAACAGCAAGATGGCGTTTGACCTGTCGCCTTGGGCATCAACCTTGACCGTGACATGCCCTGGCGACGAAAATCTCACATGATTCAGTCATTGCTACGCACCCCTGCGGATTCTCCCTCCCCCGTCCACCTCCTCCGACAGGTACCTGTACTTGCTGTTGTGAGGAGAGCGTGTCTGTCAAGATTGAGAAATGTGGTGGGATGTGCGAGGCACCAGGGGCGGTTGTTTTCCTATATGGTCGAATGCGGAGGCGACCTGCAGGCTTAGGTAATTGGCAAAAGTCTGGGTCGCGGAGAGTTTAGCAATGTCCCAAAACGAGTAGAAAGTAAAGCATCATCTACTACAATTTCCCGCTCCTCAACTAGTTTCCTTCTTCTCTTATTTGAAACGCTTTAAGACAGCGTATCATCAAAGTAAACATAAGAAGCCGGTTGCCATGAAAGCCCTCAAATGAATAAAAGTCTTTTATTTCTGAACCTCAAAGTCAAAAAAGTAACGCGCACAGAAACTTAAAGAATTTCTTCCTTGTTTTGCCGTAGGGGAAAATCTACTACTTTATTTCTTTATCAGCGGCTGGTTTAGGAAACTGCGGAAACTAGTTTTTTTCACGTTAAACACGCGGTTATTAGTTTCCCGAACTTCAGTAGACATTGTTTTATCATCAAGCGCCATTTTAGGGTTTCGCGTTCCGTGCGTTTTAACAAGGTGACGACAGTTGCTGCAAAACCCCGCTCTGAGTTGAAGGGTGCGAAGAGAGCCTTTGTGTTAACTAAAGGATTAATCCACATTTCAGTTCGAGAAAGCACAAGCATATGAAGTGTAAAAATAGCACTTTGTACTAAACGGTACCTACCCGGACGACTTGCACATGGTACGCAATTATGAGCCCGACCAGAGCCAGAGTTGTGCATGTTATCATTGACTTCAGGATGAATGATCCCATGGAGGCCTTAAAGAAATGATGGAAATAGGTTAACTGCAATCAAAAGTTATTTACTTCTGACAATAGTGGTCAACCTAATAGGCGTTTAACATTACAAAACATGAATTATTAGTAACAGAAAGTTGGTAAGTACAAGTTTGATTCGCAAAATTGTTGAACTTGGTTAAAACTTTGTTTTTCTGGTGGACCAATTAAAATCCCCTCATTTATTGAACTTTAAAATTATTCAGTTTAATTTATATGAACACAATTTGCTTACTGCATTTAGAAAGCGTGTCATGGATAGTAATTTGAGAAAATAATATCATGCAGTGGATTCCAAGTGTTTATCTTTTAGTCAATATTTAACAGACAAAGAAGTGTTCCTCCGTTAATAATGTGCGTCTTGGTCTTTTGCCGCAACCTATACATAATTGCAGAATCTCCTAAAGCTTTTATGTATTCTATCCCGTATTATTGCGCCAAATTTCGGTTACAGTGGACAAGTTTGCCTGAGTTACCCAGCTGAATTACGAGTCAACCAGTCAGTGGTACAATTGCCAAAATTGAGACAGCTTGTAAGAAAACTACCGTCCCTAATTTCACTTCTGCACATATGGACTAGTAGCCAGAAAGCGGGGACGATGGGGGAGATGGTTAAGGCGCCTATGTAACAAAGTGACCGTCCAGGCAGCCACCTCACCCGTTTTTTAAACAGCACTGTGCCCTCAGTGCCCATCAGGCCTCAGTTTGGCTTTCTTGCTTTTATACTGCTTTTGCTAACGTGCGGCCTATCTGATATGCATAATTAAGAAACAAAAAACCTCCCTGTGGATGCGACAGATGGCGCCCAAATTTTCGCTTTAATCTACATGACTTTTCTCCTTCATTACTCTTAAGCAGATTTTGACGCTGGAACAATGGATTTTGCCAAAGGCCAGCTCATAAGCAATTCATTATGTTGCCCCTGGCGCGGTTTGGAGGTTGGACAGAACGTGAAATGACTTTGCCTCGGGCCTTCTGGTTCTCGCTCCTGATTTTAATCGAAATTCTTGCCATAAGCAAGGCTTAAGAGTAGCGGGCCTTGTCAGATTTAGCTCGCGGCATTTACCTGCACATATGTCCTCCTGTAGATGAAGACTTCAGACAACTTGCCGAATGCAGCGTAGAGATCTGTTTGTTATAAATCAGAAAATGTAACATCTTGGAATCCTATAGCATGCGTTTAAGAACGGTTATGGTCGTGGCAATCACGCGCGCTCTTTTTGGCGTACGGACACCAGGCCCAGCCGAGGGGTGGGGTAGGAGAATGTAGTGGACGCAGCGCAAGGTTTTCCACAAGCTGTTTTTATTTTTAAATCCGTCGAAGCGTTGCATTTGATGCCTTTCTAATCGGAACACAGAATGCACTTGATGTGTAGAAATATGCTACTACGGGATCGATAGCCAAACATACAGCTCCGCAGCCTGCAGTTAACTTCACTAATATCTGTTGGACCTAACTCCCTCTCAGTTATCGTTGCATATGCAATTCATAAAAATAAATGTCCTAATGTAAGAAAAGGATTCGCCCACAATAGAGGTAGATTTGACGCATATTCCAAGGAACTTAGAAGTTGGTTGAAGGTAAGGATGAGTGTTAACTGTAGTTTTAGCTAGTGAGTATTGCCGGCAAAGACGAGGGAGACTGGAATGGCCATTGCTGGCTTACTAGCCATCGTCAAACTCAGGTGGTGTTCCACCTGAGCCTCGAACTGGCTACCTTTTTGATCAGAATCAAACTTTATCAATCAAGTGATATTGAATGATTGGCAAAAGTTCACCTAACCACTAACGGAACTCATCTGTCCCGCTTTTCCTTGGGTCTCTACAGAGGCCCCGACAGCTGTACCAGCAGAAAGCAGGCAGATAGTATTGTCGGCAAAGATATTTGAACCTCAAGTGGCTATTTCTGGCACAGTAGCCGTCGTCAGCCAGCCATACCCAGACTCAAGTGGTGCCCCAACCGAGCCTCGAACTCGCTACCTTTTTGATCAGAGTCAAACGTCCTAACCATTGAGCCACGAGCTCGTCTTACCAGTTTAGTTCAGGGGGTATTGACACTCATCGATGAACATTCACCTGAACATGGCTGCCAGGGCCCCTGTCGAGACCCAAGGCAGAGTGGAACAGCCTTAGCAAGCAGTTACTTGCAAGCAAGAAGCCGCGCCCACAGTAGGCTATCGATCGGCTTACGCGCGAGCGAACGTATGGTGCAGTCAATCGATCGATAACTTGAAATTTAAACTACAGTCCGCCGTTGAGTCTCCAGCCAATCCTACCAGCGACCATTTCAGGTGAAAAGCTGATTGGCTCATTGGACATCGTGTTACACGGTTTATTTTCCTAAATATGTTGTACCTCTTACACTAAAAGACTTCTGCCGTTGCACACTTCTTGTCGTGTTCTTTTGGGGACTCACACAAGGCGTTACTGGGCGGTGATGTCTTGGTCTGGGCTTTCGTAACAACATTCTTGATTCTGTCTTGACAGTGCACCTAGATGTGAGATGAGGAGTGAGTGTAGTAGATGAAGCGCATAAACTTACTCAAGCTTAAGGCGCTGAGCTTACGCGTACTCTTCTGTGAAGCCCACTATGGACTTCCTTGAAATCGACGGTCAAACTGTCATGTCGGAACATAGTCGCTTTGGTTGTCTATCAAGCAAATGCATTTTGCTGTTTTTCTTGACTGGATAAGTTGGTCAGAGGGAAAGACTGCCAATAGAAGCGAACCTGTGAGTCTCAGAAAGAAATTAAGTAAAAATGGCCGAGCAATCATCAGACCCAATTCCACCACGTGTGATGAACTTTCAACAGGTCAGGGCTAGCACGCCGGTTATCAAGTAATTAGCGCACAAGCGGGCAACTATCGTCGATAGAGGAGTCGTTAATTGTCAGAAGTGTGCAGTAATGGCTGTCTCTTATAAATACTGCAACTCCCTATGCATAAATAATCCGTTTCAGCTAATATTTATCTAAATGTCTCTGATAAAGAACCTGCGACGGATTTCGAAACGTGAGGCGAATAAAATTCTTGTTCCAGCGATCGCATCTTCTTCTCATTAGGTAACATGAGGGCGAGAGTCCACTGAAAGCAACCAGTAGAGGCTCTTTTTATGCTATTTACGAGAAATGATCGTCGAATCGGCTCGAAATGGTTGGCTGATATTTCTTAATGGCACCACGAGCCAATTTCTATTGCAAATCTTCTGGGTTAAGTACGAACGCCGGCTATCCCATAGCAGTGTCAGTGACCAGACCACTTCCTGGCTTATGAAAGCGAAATGTGCTGTATCAGTTCCATTGAACTGTTACCTTTGAAGACGCCGTCCCCATTGCCCTACTGTTCACGAGGTAGACTTCTTGGGGTGGTGGGGGCGGATTTCCGTAATAGAGAGGAGATGATAGACACCCTGTCAAACGATTGTCTGGAAATATTTGAAGGCTGCATTTGTTGTCACATATCCGCAACTATTTCTACAACCACACTGCTCGTGACCAGGAGGGGGCAGTACACAATCTGCACTAGTCGTTTCAGTCTTTATTTGTCTTCTAGACTGCTGGTGAGTGACTTTGTGTAAATAATGACAAAACACATAGTTAATTGGGCCACTCGGCAACAAGACCGTTAAGAACATCGAAGTACAGCTCTGTAGACGGTTTCGACTCATCATGAGACTTTGGTGAACGGAAGCCTACTTGAAGAATCCTAACTGGACTGTTCCTTTTAGGTGACGCTATGTTTGATTTGAACAAAATGACGCGGTAATGCTTGTCTTCGATTTGTGTAAAACAAACTCCATTAATCAACATCTCTGAGGCTAACTTTTCTGTGCACAATGCACTTTCGGACTATGTTCCACGTAGGGGCCTCATCGCCATCCAGTTGGCCGCTAAACATTCTTATATTTGGTAATTGTCTAGCATAGAGACAGAAAAGGCTATTTCACGTTTACGTACCGCCGTCAGCCTAAAAAAGGGTCATAATTTGGGCAGCAATCTAGGTCCGAACCTGTGTCTATCAGTGTTATCTAGGACTGGAACCAAGGACCCCTAGCCTGCATTTAAATAAAACTTTCTGGTATACTTTTTTGATCAACGAAAGATTGTTTATCACCGTTGCGTGCTAAGTAATAGGGCGTTACTTCTTCGTTTTCACTTTTTTGGATGAAGTAATGACTCTGGCGTTCTTTGGAATAATAACAGTGACCGATGAAAAAATTGGGCTAGACTTTCACTGTGTTAATTATTACTGCCTGGAAATAAAAATACCAGAGTGGGCACTGGGCTCCTTTTTAGAGTCTAAATCTCCCGATGGAATTCAACTGAGGAAGTCTCCGTTTTGATGATGGTTTCAGCGACTTGAAGGGAATTACTTGGGGTGGCTGTCAATTTAGTTAATAAACTAGAAGTAAATATCAATCTCAAACTATCAGAGTCACTCGTAAAACGTCTTTTAAGAAAAATAATTAGCCTTAGCAAGTAAACAGTAGTTTCCTGAGTACTTTATGATTACCAAAATATCCTCCATGACTCCATAAGGCTATTCATTTACGCTTCTGACAAAAGCATTTCGTCCAAATGTGTGAGAAACAGCAATTTTACCCTTTTCAGTCAACTTAGAAGGTCATATTACGTATGCTCTCGGAAGACGAAAACTTCTGGCCCTCTGACCAATGTACTGTCATTAAACGCAGGTTCTCTTGAGTATTTGACATCCAAGATGCTGGGTGTGGGCCTTAAAGAGCGTTACAGTCCGAGGTCACGACAAAACCCTACGATAAAGGTAACAGCTTTGGGGAATTTTGCAATACGTGTTTTAGATTGTCGACTTAGTCAAGAGTTCCAGATTCTGACAGATATTACATGCTTATCAATGAATTTCATTTGCTGACTAAACTTTAGATAAGTTAATTTACTCAGAAAACAAAACATTATTAACTAATTGGTTCTCATCCGGGGCTTTATCTGATAAAGTTTTAAAGATTGCGTCGTTATGATAAGCTGTAAAGTAATAATACTCACCTTCGTATAAACTCCCGCCAGCGTTAGTTCAGTTTCAATAACCATTAGAATGATTCCAAGTATGGCAAACAACAGCGAGAAATCCGTCACAAGGCATCTTTGTTCAAACATTTTCTTACGACGATTAAGTCGGTATCCAACATTGTAAAATGCCATTGTATCCTGGGCTCGTTTCATCGCTTGGCGCCTACAAGATACCAATTTGACGAAAACATGTTTATTGAAAATAAATAAAAAATGGCTGAATTTTGCTCTATGGGCTATTTTTTTATAATTTTAGCTGGTAAGGGATTACCTTAGTATAATACTAATCGTGATTCTGTTTCCTATCTGAAAAAATTCCCGATATGCAGCTAGCGCCTCTGCTTCACAGTTACATGTATAATTCACGATAAGTTTCATTTGCGTAAGTTGGTTAACTTCAAGTGTCTTTGGAATCCTCCGTAGGATAAAGAAGCATGGATTTAAATAATGATATCCTGATTTGTAGTTGCAAGACTTATCTTCAGTAACAGGATTTTTAAGTTAAATCTCTGTATGCGGGAATGTCAGTAGAGCGGAAAATGAACTAGTGCCACGTAATCCCATAAATGAATTCTGTTTTTCCGCTTTCATGTACAATATGTCACACACATAGAGCAGGAACTTTTATTAAACCGGCTTATTGGTTTTATGTCTCCTGACTAGCCAACAGTATGAAAACAAGTGGACCAAAAACGAACGTTTTGTTCATTTATTGTAGCTAGATTCAAGTTTTAAGCGACCAGATTAGCTATTGTTAAGATAGAGTAACACTGCAGCATAGTATTTTTACCATTTACTTCTTGGTATCATTCCACGTTTCGGCAACTGGTTTAGCTTTCGGTTTGTGTAATTCCTTTTCATTAAAGGAGGGTTATTTTCGCTCCGAAAATAGTTTGAATTTGTTCCATGCACTTTTCAATACTCAATCCTATTAAGCCGTCAGCGAGTTATTAAGCATGATCAGTAAAATTCAATCCATCAGGCTAGCGTTTCCCCTATATTTTACCTGCCTACTCTTTTGTTTATAGCATCGTTCTCGCCATGATTTACGTCTTCAGTCGTAAATTGTGTTTTTTTTTTAGCTGTGCTTTGCAAAGTCTTATTGATTTGTTGTTGGTTTTATTTTTTATGATGGATCTTCTCTTCGGTTTTAGAACCAAGTTAACAGGATGAATAAGGTTCGTTGAAAAAAACAATTATATTTTAGATTTTGAACTACTTCTATTAAGACGTATTTTTCAATAACATAAGATAAAAATGTAAATAGTCCCTAGTTTTGTTCAGCTTATTTACTTGATTCCAAAATCTCTAGCTAATCTTCTTTCAATAAGGGATTTTTTAATGTTTAGTAATTAATGGACCAAATTTTCTATCCAAAATGGGGAAGTGCGCAGCTCTCAGCTCCTTAATTTTTCCAAAACATAAAATCGACGAAACCTTCAAGGTCAAAGCGGTGAGAAAGGGCGTGAATGAGAATACGGTGTTATTCTTCTGAGCGGTGTGGTTTTCGAGCAGTTTTTAATTTATTACCAGCAGATTAGGACAAATCTGGCCTTCATAATTAAAGTAAGTAGATGCGAAGGAACTGACAAAGCAAGTTTCCACTTCATGCAGGAAAATATAGTACATCTTCTTTACGAATGTGAAATATTCAAGTTTTAAATGTGTAAAGATGAGCATTGTTTTTTACTAAGCATTTCCATGTCAGCGGCCTGGATGAACACGCAGAATATCCCTTTTATCAGACTATGCGTCGTCGCTGCCTTAAAGGGTGTGCCCGACAGGATGGGCGGTTTTATGACCATAAAGTCAAGGTGTGCAATTAAAAGCCCTAAATAAAAAATGCCATACATTAACAGGGGCCACAGTCTACTTACTTCGACGTGTATGAGGTCTACGTTGAGAGTAAATGAACCGTAAATTTCGCAGTTATATATTAGGACAAGTTTGAAGGTCACGAGGTATATACGGGTCTCGGGAGGCAAGCTCTTGTGTAGACACTGGAACTACTAAGTGGATAAACTGTGTTCTAGACAAGAAACAAATAGGGAAAAAAGTTTAGTGTTAGTTGAAATGTTCTTGAGCAGAATAGGCATTCCGCAAAGATATCGGATTATTATGTGAAGTCTAACCGAAGAGAGGTCGGTGTAATGCACACTAAAGCTTGGAATATTCACCATTTTCGCCCTGAAGGATGGCTGCAGTGTTATATGGGCTGCCTTTGCAAGAAAGAAAAATGACCAGTTTATGAAATTTCTCGTTGGAAGTGTGCAGTCAATCAGTAAAAACTGAGTGAACGCTGGGTGCAAGAGTCCGTATGCTATGCTTAAATTTTCTCCGGCTCTATAGGACATTTTGAAGTGGTACAAATAGAGCTGCATGAGGGCAACACATAAGCTCTTACTTTTTTCCATACAAACATAGTTCAGGTACTTTACAATTCAACGACCGATCCGTGCACCAAATATTAATGGCACGGGAAAATAAACTACAGCGTTGAGCATTTTCTGGCCCTTTACGAGTCTTTTTGCAAAAAAAACAATGCTATGGCCTAGTTCGGTGCATAAAACTGAGTTTTATAACATTAGACTTTCCCTGGGACTTAAAGAAGACGGTTTGGCTAGATAAATTTTGACTGCAACTACCCTGGGAATTTAAATGTTTTAAATACCTGGACCATGGAACTCCTAGTAGTTACATTCCTTCCCTTCAAGCATTAATTGGGATTGCAATTAGTGCATTTAGCGTTCGCAATATGATAATTGTGTAATAATGGACTGTGGGTTATCTACGAAAGCATCAACTGCCTGTTTCCGCTGGTACTGTGAATAAACTATTCACCTAAAATAAAGGCATCTGCTTACTGACGACAAGATAAAATGCTGATTGCATAGTTGCAGTTTTTATGAGAAAGGATTGCATATATTTTCAGGGTGCACTAAAACTCCTCTTTTCTCTTTGACGTTGTATAAAATTGCAGCCTTTTTTCAGTATTCTTGAAAAATGAAGAAAAGGAGTTTCTACTAATAGGTTTGAAACTCAGAACATATTCTTTAATCTTTGCTTTTCTCGTAGATGGCATGTCATTTGACGACTTGATCGAATAATTATTAGAGGTTTGGCAGATTTAAATAATTTAATTGATCCAATTGTGCACAAATCGTGCCCTCGGTGGGCTTCGAACCCACATCAGCAGGGGAGACTTTAGTACAGCCAACTCTCTACCAATTGAACTACGAAGGCACGCCGAAAGACTTGAATTATTATGCACAAAAATTCGAGGCCCAGATAAAATATTCCTGTCATCATCCCCGGAAGAGTAAGAAGAAGAAGAAGGGGTGATTTCTGGGACCAGG